AGAGAGAGAGAGAGAGAGAGAGAGAGAGAGAGAGAGAGAGAGAGAGAGAAAGGTTATCTCTGTTATATCTGATGTTAAAGCTTTCTAAGATTTTTTTCCCTCTGTGATTAGTCAAATGATAGATTTATATAAAATTAAGTCAAATGTATATTGTGATCCTTAGGAATAGCAAAAGAAGATACACATAATTACCATACAGTAAAGAAAAAAAAGAATATAGAACTGGCATAACAAACAGAAATAATTAGTAAGGTGGGAGTTATAAGCGAAAATATGTCAGTAACTATATTAAGTGTAAATGGACATAAACTTTTTACTAAAGTCAAAAGTTATCCTACAGGATTTGAATAACTCCTAACCATGTGCTGGTTGTTTATGAAGACCTACTTTTGCTAAAGGTATCAAAAGATCAAGAAAGTGGAAGAATCCTTTGTAACTCTTGGAGTTTGTTCTTGTAAGTGAATGGACAATTGACTTCATTATTGTTATGGAAGTGTACCAGGTTTACTTGTTTTAAATGTAGTTTAAAAGTTGTGTTTTGGAATCTGTGGATATAGCTCAGTGAGAAAGCATCTGTTTAAAATGTATACAATGTCCTGGGTCCAACTCTCAGCACTAGAAACAAGTTTTGGTGGGGCATGCTCATTTTGACGTGCTAAATACAGTTGGCAAAGAGAATATTCAGGTTTGATGCTGAAGAGAGAATTCAGTAAAAGATAAATACCTGACACATGTGGGTAGATAAATAATATTTAAAGTTGTTAGATAAAATTAGCTTAGTTAAAGTGGGGAGGGGCTAGGTCATACTCTGGAGTCCTATGAATTACAATGTCTATCTTACAATTTTTTTATTTAAAAAAAAACAGATAGCATCAAAAGGAGCTGGAAGAGAGAGAGAGAGAGAGAGAGAGAGAGAGAGAGAGAGAGAGAGAGATTCTGGAGCCCAAGAGGAGGTGAGAATGCAGTTTGGTGGTAGAGTGTATACTTAGCATGCACGAGACCCCAGGTTGTACCACAAAACCACCATGATGGTCATGATGATGTATGTGTACCTCTGTGTGTCTGTTTGCGTGTGTGTGTGTGTGTGTGTGTGTGTGTGTGTGTGTGTGTGGTGTTGGGGGGGATTGTCAGAAATCCAGGAAACTTCATGTGCTGATGGTAAGAATTGGATTTGAAAAGACAAGAATTGATGACATACATTAAGTTGTGTGTTTCAGGGACAAAATTACAGGAAGAGTGTAAAGGAGAAGGAAAAGACCTAAGAGGCTTTCTGGAACACTGCCCTGGGCAAGTTGCTAAGCAACATCCACCAGTTATAACAACAGGCAAAGCAGAGCCCAGTTCTGCAGGGTGCTAGAGATGAGAAAAGATTGGGAAATTCAATCTGACTTCCCTCTGTGAAATATGAGTGTCTGGAGAGACAGGAAAGTTGCAAAATATTTGTGGGGAGAAGTTGTTCAAATAATAATTTATAAAGTAAATGCTTCTGGTGGGAGAACTGACCAACAGTGTGAGTCCTGATTTCAAGCCCTGGAGTCATGACTTGAAAATGAAGCTGGCTTTTCTAGTGTAGGCATGTGGCTGTCTTAAGCAAGGAGAGCAGTTAGTTCCTCTGTGATCTGTGCTTTACCTCATGATGGGGCTTAGTGCCTAAGAGCATGGGCTACGTACTCAGTGTTGTCAGAGATCATACCTTAGTTCCATGTCATTGAAGATGTCACTTAAGAGCTCCACACCATGGTTTCATGAGGGCAAAGTATGAATTTAGTAGTAATAATCTTTCCATATAATTTTAAGCCAGTTACTTGGGGAAGGCGTGTGTGTGTGTGTGTGTGAGTGTGTGTGTGTGTGTGTGTGTGCACATTCAGAAGTGAAAACTACAACATCTATAATGAAGAAGCTCTTGCTTTGCAAGACATTGAGAAAAATGTTTTGTGAGAAGACTATATGGTATATAAATAGAAGACATATAACCTGCCACACACATTGTGACACTTCTTCTTTCTTGTATCAGTCTTTTTAAGATCTATTTGCCCTTCTTCCTTATTTGCTATGTCCGGATATTGACTGGGGTAGAATGAGGAAAACACGTAGATTCCTAGCCACCCATATGCCACACAGCCTGGTTGTAAGCGATTGTAAGCAGATTTGTACAGTTCTGCCACAAAAAAACTGTTGTTTTCAAACTTAAAAGAACAACAAACAAACAAAGAGCAGACACAGGTGAAGAGTTGTTTGACCTTTTACCCTCCACTAGTGGTTTGTCCCCACTTTGCTCTTCTTGAATAGGGGAGTTTGGCCTTGAATGACAACAGATACAAAAGCCAGACATATTTAAAAGAGATGTTATAATGATGTACAAAAAAATGAACATATTAAAACATACAGCTACATCACTAGTCTAAAATTAAATTCTCAATGTATGCATATGAATGAGCGGGATGAAAAAAAAAAACCAGCAACCATAACCTGGAATGGATATGGGATCGTTACTCACCATCGACACCCAGAACTTCCCTGGAGCTGAGTAAAAGCCGCACAGGACAGGAGAGGGTGTTGGTGGCATGAAGATCTCAGGCAGCGGCTCCTCCTCCTCTTCCTCTTCTTCAGTGGCCTCCTCCTCCTCTGGTATTTCCTCTTCCCCAAAGGCTTCTCTCTCTTCTGCTAGCCTCCTCCTCATTTCTTCCCTTTCCTTCTCCTTCAACATCTTTTGTTTTTCTCTCCTTTGTACTTCCATAAATCTCTTTTTCAAAAAAAGATAATAAATAGACACTTTTAAAGTGTGCTATTTTGTGTGTGAGCATGACAGATTGTGGAAAGAAGCGGGTTTTAGAAACCTCATAGTTCCTATATTTTCATAAATTACCCTTTGGAATACATTTTTATCATTAAAATTCAAATCTTTGGGATGAGCATCATTTCCGTTTAATCCCCATTTCATTGAAATCATTTGACCATCCTTTCTGGCAAGAGATGGGAAGTGTTAATTTTCCCTCAGAGCCGGCCACTGTCAACCTAGGAACTACGTCTAAAATAGCCAATGGGAAGCTTGTTTCTGGCTCCCATAAACCTATGATGTAGGCACTCGATTATCACCGGCTGTCCAATGTAGAGGTCCCCAACACTTGGTAGCCCCTTCTCCTATTCACCCCTGAGAACTACCTTCTCTGAGTTATATGATCTCTTCACACCATCCTCTGTTCACAAAAGATCACAGTGGCTCAAACTGATGTAGCTTGGCTGGCTTCTAAAGAGACCTTCACTATGGTCCTGTCGCATCTCCTACAAACTGAATGCTGTGATTTCAACCAGCCATTCTTCTTCGTGAAAACACCAAGAACTGTTGAAACAGTGGCTGCCCTAGGGCTGTTCTCCCAGCACCATTACCTCTCTCTTCCTCTCATTCTCTTAGATATCTTCCCATCTTCTGAGTATAAATCTTCATTTCCAGGTCACCAGTTTTTTATTCCTCTCATCCCTCCATCAGCAACATCACTCCCTGAGGTTTCTTTCTTTGTACCTGGATTGTAGTCACCTATCCACTACTGCCTCCTGCTTACCAGTGTATACGCTCCAAGGGCCAGGATCTGTTTTATTTTATTATTCTCCAAGAATCTTTTATAGGATATTGCATCTCCAAATGGAAGAAAGGAAAGAAAATAATGATTCAAGAAGATCTCATACCAAAATCTTAGATTTGACACTCGTGAAATGGAAGCATCTGAGTAACATGTCTGGGATTGCAAACGTGGTAACATTCTGATCATCTACATCCTTAATGGTTGGGCATAGACATTCAAGAATATAGCCATTCTCACAGATGATCAATAAAGTGCTTTCAGGCTGAAAAAAAAAGGAGAGAAGGAAAGAAAGAAATGAAGGAAGGAAGGAAGGAAGGAAGGAAGGAAGGAAGGAAGAAAGAAAGAAAGATGCATTTTATGCATATCACTTACATGTAGGCAATTTTTTACAAGTTCAAAGTCAGTGAGAATATCACGATCATTTAAAAAGGCGATACCCCACAGGCCTAGTCACAAATGATTATTGTGTTGCTAGTATTGGTTATCCTCATGTAATTATTCATTGTTAACCTGATGGCTAAAGTTAGATTTTCAATTGTTTCCTTTAAAGATACCATGACTTATAGCCATAGCCAAATATGTGGTTGTGAAATCTCTTGGCCCAAAGGGCAATATCTTCTAGCTAAAATCGCTGAGGAAAATTTGTGGCATGAAGGTCTGCTCAGCTCAGTCACCCATGACAACCCATCCTATCTTCCTAAGTTTAAATTTCAATGTGATGCTCCAAGGACTCTCTCTTCTTCCCTCTTCTCTTCATAAGTGTGCTTCAAGAAGTCTTAAGCTTTGACTTCCACTCAAATACAGCAGGTCCCAGACTGCTCTTGTCCAGTGCAGAACTCTCTTTTGCACCAAAACCTCATCTGGGAAATCACCTTATCTACTGTGTACTCAGCATTTTGCTACATGCTAGAGATGGAGTTGTAAGAAGAGCCGCTATCCTCACTCCCATTATGGACTTTGCCTCCGAAGGGAGAGCTTGTCAGTTATCAGTTCACACAGATAAATACAAATTGCAATTGTGAAAGTCCTGCCAAGAGACTGCAAGAATTGCCTGATTGTGCATAATTTCCAGAGAAAGTACTATCTAGCTTGAAGGTGGAGGATGAATACAATTTAAGGTGAGCTGGGGAGTGGGTGATGTGCTGTGAAGAGGAGACATCAGGACAAGTGTCCCGTGGCACATTTGAGCTTATAGGAGAACTGTGGGCTTAGAAAGCATTGCTTAGAGCCATAGCGCAGGAGGAAAGAGAGACAGAGCGGGGCACTGAGGGATTTAACACCCAATGACCAGGGAGAGCCTTGGCCAGGTGCAAGAATGAGGTGGGGGGGGGGACAGAAAAGCACTAACATTAAAGGGAGAAGATATTTTAAACAGGAAGGAAAGTTCAATGGGGTCAAACAATGCTACAATATCAAGAAGATAAGATTCACATGTTAGGTGGGTATCAGCGATGCCTTGAGAAGAGCTACACACTAGAATCAGGGAGCCAGAAGGCAGGCAGAAGGTGTGGAAGGATGGAGCAGTCAGTCCTGAGAGCTGCTAGGAGGAAAGGCAGGAAGCCATAAGTGCACAACGCAAAGTGAGCCTGTTTACTTTCTGTAAGGGCCAGAGACTACCATGGGAAATTACCCAGGGAGCATCAGGAAAGGCTAACTTACATGTCCCAAGAAAGAGAGTCATGATGTAAACTATTGAAGTCGAGAATGAGGGACTCTAATCCAAAGGACCAGAGGCAGAATGGGCAATAAGTAGGAAGGACAGCTTCTCCATGGTAAAAGAAAGAAGAGGAGCGACACAGAGGTCCTGAGAGGATGCAACGGGTCCTCACCTCTCTGGGAAAGGATGCTGAAGGCATGACAGGGAGGCAGAAAGCTTTGAGGTTTCAAGGTGGCCATCTTGTGTGAGAGAAGGCATTGATAAGAGCTGTCCCAAGGGATGTGTGGAACTCATTTAAGTCACTGTATTTGTGGGAGTTAATAATCTTCCTTGACATATGATTATCTCCTGCAGTCTTTGGCTGACACTAGTGACAAATTAGGCAAAGTAGTCGGGGCAACTCTAGAATGGATTTTTGCCAAATAGCAATGAGGAAAATGTAGCCCAAAGAGGGAGAACCCTTGTAACTACAAGACACTTCAATTTAATCTTGAGGATAAATGCTAATGACTTACATGATTGGCTGGAGACCACATCAACTGACAAATAGGCCCAGGAGTGGTAAAAAAACCAACCGGCTTGTATTCCTTCTCCACATCAAAAAAGAAAACAGTCTTGTCCGCACTCTAAAAGAAAAAGAAATACACTCATCATATACATATATACATATATATGTAATTATTATATATGTATATATATTATATATATGTATACATATATATATATATATATTACTATGACAATACAGTCATTCAACATTCTGTTAAATACCATGGAGTCTATCTAATTTACATTTATAGATACAACAGTCATGTATTCTCGATTAATCTGAAATATAAATATGGTTTCAAATGTTTGACTCATTTTCCCAAGTGTTTCAGTACCTAGTCTAGAAATGTGACTACCATATATGTGTTTATACACACATGTTTATGTACATACAACTAATTTCTAAAATAATTCCACAATACATCTGTTCATTCTTACTTCCTATAGAATATAGTTATTTCCTTTATCTGAGGCAGGCTTTTGTTTTGGTTCTTATTTAGAGGATATCAAAGATCAAAGCAGAACTGGCTACATGCTAGGCAAGAGCTCTCCCACTGAACTATGTAAACCTCACCTATGATGGCCCTCCTTAAGAACACATATATATTATAAACTAATGGTTATAAGAAATTCATCCAGCATGATTTCCATTTGAAATTTTTTGTTCATTTAAAATAAGGATTAAAACTTAACTTATAAGACAGTTCTTAAATATCATACATAGACTGCGCTGAAAAAATAAGAAAACAAAATGTAGGTTAATTTTGGTAAACAGGGCACAATAGAGTAGGTGCAGTTAAGAGGGAAGCTAGGTGTGGAGTTTTAGTAGAAAATGAGAGGGAATCTCACACTTACCCCAGTGGCTAAGATCTCGCCATCACGTTCATAAGCTAAAGCCGTAACTTCTTCAGTATGAGGTTTGAAGACATATTTCAAATGTAACTCAGCATCTAAGATTTTCTTCCGTCCTGCAAAAACTGTAAGTCCTTTTGGATCAAAAAGTTCAAGAATTCGAACGACACCATCTTGGAATCCTACTACGATCTGGGATGCAGAAATGCTTACCTGGGAAAACAATCAAACACATGGGACCTGTGTTTAGTTAAGTAACTGAAGCACACACAAAAGTCACTCCAGATCTTGCTTTGATTCAGGTGACTTAGTGTCGGCTGCCCTTTTCACCCCTTGGTTCAATGTTATGGCAGTCCCCATCAACTCCGGGCTGTTTACTTATTATGACCACAAGCAGGGTAATCTACAATAATTCAAGCTTCCAACGAGCAAACACAGATGGCTCGCCTGCCTCCTGTGTAGAAGGCACCTGTCACCAGCAGTTTGGGGTGAACACAAATAGACTGAATGTCACCTATTAACATGTAGAAAAGTATAAAATATGATTAACATGGGTCCATAGGAAAGAAACACACAGCAAAGAAAGCTAGCTGTGCTTGAGGACTCCCCTAAGGCAAAGATGGTTGGAGCTGAGATCAGAAGGGTACTTGGTCAAGAACTAGGTACAAGAAGGTACCTAGAACGAGAACTGGATAGCGTGAAGAAGAAATGCTACCATAAGAACTAGAGGTAGAGACAGGTACAGAATATCTTATACGGTACATTGAAGGTAGTCTTTATCCAAACAATGGGAAACCAGGCCAGAGGCCTACCTGAACCATGTCCTCTGTGATTCCATCCCTTTATTCTTATTGTTAATAAGAATTAATACTCCCATGGTGATTAATAGTCCCATGATGTTTAAAAACCATGGTTGCATGGACAGAAGATGACTCAAATTCAGTGGCATGGTTAGTTCACAAGACAGAGCCTATGCCACAGGTAGCACAAAAACAGATTTTCACTAAGCAAACTATAATAGTAATATCATAAAATGATTTCTGCAATATTTTAGGTAAAATAAATGACTCGAAATATTTGTACTTCTAAAATTCTGAGCCAGAAAATAACTACATCTCTACAAGATATCATGGATTCAGTATATTTCTCAGGGTCTCTGATTAAGACAACAAACTTACTGATCGGGGTGCCCAGATGAGGGATGTGCCTCCTTGTTTGAATCTCATGTGAACCAAAGGGTTTTTACTAGCAAAGTCATAGACGCGCACAGAGCCTACGGAAAAGAAGAAGAGAAAGGTTTTAAAAGAAACAGATTATAAATGTGTTATTTCTTTAAAAAAAAAATCTCAGCTCACTTTTTATAGGAGACAATTCAGTAACTCCATCAATTGATAGCCTAACAGCCTTTTAAATTTGTATTTATTTTTTCTTTTTAGTTATTTTTAGATCAGCACACAAGGTAACAGATTTCCTTGTGGCATGTTCATACATGCTAGGTTTTAGTTGAATCTGCCCACACGCAAACACTGCTGGCCTGCCTCCATCTCCTACCTTGGTCCTCCCTGTATCTAACTGTCCCCAGGATTCCTTTTTCTACTTCCACACTCCGTGTGTTCTGGGCTCTCTCCTTCCTCAAAGCCTCCTTCTTCCTATCTCAAGGGCCCTTTGCCAGTTTGATGGGAGACATGAGTTGTGACCAACTGACAGAACACGTTCCTTTGCGGTCTACCAGGTTAGAGATACTGTAAGTTGAGAGGAAAGCACAGTGATGAGGATAGAAAGGCATGCATGCTGCCAACAAAACGAACAGCGCTTTCCTAAATAATTTACAATTAGGTCTTCATTCTAATCTCCAATCGTGTCTGCTCCAGGCTGTGCACTTCCTGCTTCAAAATCTGTCTTGCCTATTACATTCCACAGGTTTTGTTTTTGGAAGAACATTCAAATACTTTGAATACCACACGTTTTCAATTTGCATACAAACACGGCCAGATACATTCTTACTAAGAGTTCCCACTTAACGAGGCTAGTGAGACGGCTCAGACAGTGAAGTGCCTGCCATGCAAACATGAGGACTTGGGTGTGAATCCCCGGCATCCGTGAAAAAAACAGACCCAGTGAAGTATCCCTGTAATCCCAGAGCTGGGAAGGCAGAGACAGGAGGATCCCTGGAGCTGCTTGGCTGTCTAGTCTGTTTGGTGAACTCAAGTCTCAGTGAGAGACCCTGTTTCAAAAATTAGGTTGAAAAGCAATAGAGGAAGATTCCTGATGTTATACACACACATACACCAGAACACTGTACATATACATGAACATGCATGGATGCACAACACAACATACACCGGAACACATGTACATATACACAAACATGCATGTATTCACAACATAACACACACACACACGTGCACACACACCCACCAGAATACATGTACACTTACATGAACATACATACATGCAAAGCCCAACACACACACACCAGAACACATGTACACATATATATAAATACGAGGGCATGCACAACCTAACACACACAGACATAGATACCTGCATGCACGCATGCATACACATGTGCAGTTTGGGGAGTGGTTTACACTTACAGTCCAAGGCAGTTGTGGCCATGAGATAAGTGAGGGGAGAAACATCCAAGGCTGCAATGGGACCAGAGTGGAAAGAGAAGAGGCATTCTGGGTCTTGGGTCTGAGAACAGACAAAGAGAATATCAGATCTCAAAGAGTAATATATCATTAAAGGTAACTTTAAAGATGCAGAAACAAAATCCTGTAACACATGTGTCATTTTACTCAACGAGAAAAACATATAACTTCAGAGCTCTGGATAGGAGAATTAGGAAAACCAAATGGAGTCCTGGCTCTGACGTCAGTGACTGACTTTACACGGATCTCATCAGATCCCCCAGGCCCAGCTCTTCCTGCCTGCTCAGTAGAGCAGCTCAGACGATCACGTTAGTGAAGATCCCATGTGTTTAGTATAATGACAGAGTTCTGTTTTTAACTTGATGGAAACAAAAGAAACACCAGCTTTTAAAGACTATCAAAGAGTGCAAAGCAGTGGTGGCGCACGCCTTTAATCCCAGCACTTGGGAGGCAGAGGCAGGAGGATTTCTGAGTTCGAGGCCAGCCGGATCTACAGAGTGAGTTCCAGGACAGCCAGGGCTACACAGAGAAACTCTGTCTCAAAAAACAAACAAACAAAACAAAAGACTATCAAAGAATTTTTCCTATAACAGTTAGGAGAAAATAAGGAAAATGGGAACTTACAATATTTGAAAAACTAAGGTCAAGTTTCCATATGGCTCCATTGGCATCCTAAAAAAATTAAACAGCTGATAATGTTTCATCATTTTTAATGTTCATCAAATTAAAATCATTCATTCTGTGATTTGGTTAAAATGAGGGCCAGCAACAACACCTAGTGTTTACATATATTGTAAGGTATAATTGAAATACATTAAGAATATCTTCTATATATTTAACACTAGAAATGTATAATAAGCCAAGCAAGCCCATAAGGCTGTAACATGGGGCATTCTGGTCCAAACAATCAACTCTATTTCTATTTTCATTTTATGTTCTGGTACAGTTAGAAAGCCCAGACAGAAGACTGCAGAATACCTGAGCCAGCCAAAAGTTATTTCCAACTTCATTCATCTTGATCATTGAGAAGAGGTTGACGTTCTTGTCCACGTGAAGTTCATTAATAGGTTCTATCTCCAACAACCCGGTATCATCTATAACGTCAGCGGTGTCGATTGTCTCAAAGTCCCATATCTTACAAAATCAACAAGAAAGTTATTTTATAACACAATGACCATTCCCCTACTAGACACCAGAAGCTACCAAGTACAAGGCGCCCCGTATGAGTTACTTCTTTTGGAGTTGTTGACCAGTTGAGGTCCCATAGACCCTCCAGCAGGACAGGTTATTGCCACTGCTCTTGATTGAACTTCAGAATTTGACAGCGAGACCCTCTTGCTGATGGTACCACATGTTTGTGTTACAGAACATGGCAAAATCACGTTGGTGCAGACCTGGAAGCTTCTTCCCTATTAGCTAGCTTTTATAGTACTGGGAAGTACTATCCATGCTACTGGAGGAGAGAAGTGATCATCAATCATATCTCAGCTGTGAACCCTGAGAGCTATAGAAACAATTGGCCTGGGAAGACATACTCATTGGTGTAGAGGTGGCACAAATATCATGGGGTAACCAATCAGTTTCAGATTGGGCTTAAGTTCTACTCAACAAGATGAAAACCATACATGACACCATTACCTGGCCAAAAAACTATGGCTGGACAAGTTATAGGCTCTAAGATAGAACCTACTATCATATAGTAAATGGACACAGTATTAAACAGACTCCTGATGACTTCTTCTTATACTCATAGTCCAGCACGTCTCTCAACTCTCGTTTGAAAAGCTTCTATTTATTTTTTGTGACCTACAGCTGGTCAAGGTACAGAGTGAAAGAGACTGTACAGTGTTCAGTCCTAAATAGAACATATTATACCCATATCCCCCAAAAGTTTCAGGAACCACTGTAGAAGATGAGGGAGAAAGACAGTAAGAGCTTAGGATGGTGGGGGATTATGAGGAAATATCTTCTGGGCAGAGGGGCAGCTGCATGTATGAACTCACAAGCAGTTATGACAACAGGTACAAAACCCATGCAAGCCCAGGCCAGACCAAATCCCAATATGGAAATGGGAGTTGAGTGCATAATTCAATCCCAAGTCATGGAGCTATTGGCAGTTGTAAGCTTCTGGGAGACAGACAATTTTCACTGAGAGTATAACCTCTGGTAAGTTGGCCATTCTGTAGTGAATGCCCACACATTCAAGAATACAGACGTGCCTAGTCTTACTGCAACTTGATGTGCCATCTTTGGCTGGTATCCATGAGAGGCCTTTTTTTCTGAAGAGAAACAGAGGAGGAGTGGACGGGGAAGGAAGGGTTTGGGAGGAGAGGAGAGAGGGGAAACTGCAGTCGGGATATTAAAAAAAAAAGAAAGAAGGGGTTCTTGTCCACTTGAGGTATCTGCAGTTGGGGAGTCGGTGAAAAGTTGTCTCTTCCTGTGTGAACATGGTGCGGACCAAAGCAAACTACGTCCCAGGAGCCTACAGAAAAGTGGTGGCTTCTCAAGCCCCCAGGAAGGTGCTTGGCTCCTCCTCCTTTGTCAACAATTCTTCCTCAAGTTCGTCGAGAAAAGCTGAAAATAAGTATGCAGGAGGGAACCCAGTCTGTGTGCGCCCAACTCCCAAGTGGCAAAAAGGCATCGGGGAATTCTTCAGTCTGTCTCCTAAAGATTCTAAGAAAGAGAACCAGATTCCTGAAGAAGCAGGAAGCAGTGGCTTAGGAAAAGCAAAGAGAAAAGCGTGTCCTTTGCAACCTGATTACAGAGATGATGAAAATGAATAGAACTTACACATCTGAATAAATGCCTTCAGTTTACTTACATATTCTAGGATGTAAATTTGGTTAAATGAGTTTGTCCAATTGGCTTGTTAATGAAAAAAATGAGGCTAGAATTTAACCCTTCAAAAGAAGCCAGCTATAAAAGTGAAGAATTTTCATAATTTGTAAATTTGAATTGCATACTTGAATTTATGTCATATCCCCCTTCTTTTATCTGTTAAGCTTCTTCCTAAAAATCAACATTACCTGATGTTCTAATTACTAACCTATTGTCTTTGCTTAGATTTTTGTACTGATGCCATTTTATGGGCGTTGATTATGGAAACAGTGCCATATGGTTATGGCATCTTTGCTTTAAAAATTTGACTTAGTCTTTTTTACATTAAAAAATTCAATATTAAAAAAAGATAGAGTTCCTGTGTAGCCCTGACTGTCCTGGAGCTCAGCTCTACAGTCCAGGCTAACCTTGAACTCACAAAGGTCCATCTACCTTTACTTCCTAAGTGATGGTGTTAAAGGAATGAACCACACATTGCCCCAGGCATATGTTAAACTTTCACCACCAAAATTAATAGTATTAAGAAGAAAGCATTAAGATGTTGATTACAACATAAAGGTAGATCCTCTTGAAGAGAGAGAGAGAAAGAGAAAGAGAGACAGACAGAGAGAGACAGAGACAGAGGGATTCCTGAGACATCCTTGGCCACCAGAACTGTAATAAACATTTTTCATTTGTAATAATTAGGGTTATTCTGTGAAAGCAGCCCAAATGGACTAAGTAAGAAAAATTCACACAAATTATCTTCATTCTTCATTGATTTTATGACAGCAATAGAATTCATAGTGATTCAGTCAATTTGAGTGTAGTTACATAAAGAACACATGTGAAGATACACCTGAGAGTGTGAAAGATGATTCTCTCATCCTTTACTGCTATCTTCTGAAGTTGTTTCATTGCCTTTAAGGGAAGAATAAGAATAATCCATAAAATGTGCACCAGTAGAAAACAACCAAGTTTTATGATAGTAAATCTTCCAATTGACTAGCTAAGTATTAGTTTCAAATAGAATTAAACTTGGTTATGTACAAAGTAAAACCCAAAGCAGCACTGGTGAGAAAAACATAGTTTATTGTCTATCACATTAAGACAACAGATAATAGATGGTCTACAGCTGGTTGGGCAACTCTATGGTCATCAGGCTCAAGTCTTTTCATTGTTCCTCTTTTTCATTTCAATTAGGAGCTGCCATCTTCAGTGTCATCCACGGCTAAGGTTAGCTCTGGAGCCTCCAGGCACCACATCAGTACTGCAATTTCACAGATAAGTGCTAAAGCAAAAGAAAATCCTTCCTTTTCTTTAGATGCCTGCCCTAAAAATATCATACATCTCATTTGCCAGAGCAAATGATCAGAGTCAGATGCAAGGTAAATTGAAATAGGCTACTATTTACACCTATCTTTGCAAAATTGGAGAAATGTTATTGAGCAATATATGAGTTACTTTATGCCACAAATGTGATGCATGATAAGCAAGCAGGAAATGTGTGACAATGACTGTTCTGTCAGGAAACATCATAGGACAAGCTAATAACTAGCAGGTGATCTTCCTGAGATGAGTCTGCTTTGGATTAATAAATAATCCATGACAGACTTGCTTCTATAGGCAGGGCTCAGGAGAAATCAGTATAGGAAAGATTACTGTTATTAATATGATTTTCCTGCTATCATTAAACATATATAACAATCAGTAGGTATTAGCCCACCCTTTTGAGAAGATCTCTCTAGAACAATGAAGATGTACTGTTTTGTAGTGATGCTGAATAAACAAATAGATGACTTATTAATTCTTAATGATGATCTTATAAGAATTCCTAAAATTATATCAGTATTTATTAAGCTCTTTCATAGTAGTACTGCTATTAGGTTCTTTCTGAAAAGAAACTGCAATGAGGACTTAGCCTGTCTCACACAGATTACCATGTAA